GGGTTTTTTTGTTGTTGTTAAGGCTCTAATTACCTCAAATTTTTAATTAAAGCCATGTTTTCAAGTATATGGCATAATGATCTTAAAAATTAGCTATGTACTTGCAAGGTAGTCAAAATAAAAATAGAAACCCAGAGAGACTGATTTTGGGCCAGTCTCAGCATAATCATATTTTCCAAAGTGATTTTCGTGTTCGAACCTAAAAGGAAAAATTTTAAGGTAAAATCTAGTATCTTTCCTTGGTAGCTAGCTTTAAGAGCAATGTTTCAAAATACATAACAGTAATTATTTGGAAGGTTTTTTTTTTTTTTTAACTGAAATCTTGTCAAGAATAGGGGAGAGCATAAGATGCTACCTGTATAATAGAGAATGAAGGGCCATTTTCCTTAAAAAGATATATTTGATAGTTCTTACTCCGACTCATAAGGAATCAGAAAAGTTTCCATGATGTTCTGAGGAGTTGCTGACCCAGTCGATGTGTATTTGTAGAATGGTCTTCCGTGACTTCTCACCTAGGCGTGGGTGGCTGCTCTCTCTCCTGTGGCTGCGTGTGCTTTCCCTTCACAGTGGTCATCACACGTACTTACATTTCTAATGCTTCTTTTCCTGCTGAGCTCTAAGGTTATGAGGGCTATGGATTGTGGATGTTTGTTTGTTACTGTGTAATACATGTTTAATCATATGTATAGAATAAATGATACAAACAAGCAGAAAATGGGAATTTATTCCTAAAAAGTAATTGTTTTGGTCATGGCAATGTTTGAAGCACTGTAGATCTTGAAATAAAGTATTATTATTATTATTACTTGGATTATTTATTTATTTATTTATTTATTTATTTATTTTAACATTTTTTATGGATTTATAATCATCTTACTATGTTATGTCAAATTCCAGTGTAGAGCACAATTTTTCAATTATACATGAACATATATATATATTCATTGTCACATTCCTTTCTCTGTGAGCTACCATAAGATCTTGTATATATTTCCCTGTGCTATACAGTATAATCTTGTTTATCTATTCTACAATTTTGAAATCCCAGTCTATCTCTTCCCATCCCCACCCCCTTGGCAACCACAAGTCTGTATTCTATGTCTATGAGTCTATTTCTGTTCTGTATTTATGCTTTGTTTGTTTGTCTGTTTTTGTTTTGTTTTGTTTTGTTTTTAGATTCCACATATGAGCGATCTTATATGGTATTTTTCTTTCTCTTTCTGGCTTACTTCACTTAGAATGACATTCTCCAGGAGCATCCGTGTTGCTGCAAATGGCGTTGTCGGTTTTTATGGCTGAGTAGTATTCCATTGTATAAATATACCACATCTTTATCCAGTCATCTGTTGATGGACATTTAGGCTGTTTCCATGTCTTGGTTGTTGTAAATAATGCTGCTATGAACATTGGGGTGCAGGTGTCATCCTGAAGTAGGGTTCCTTCTGTATATAAGCCCAGAATCGGGATTCCAGGGTCGTATGGTAAGTCTATTCCCAGTCTTTTGAGGAATCTCCATACTGTTTTCCACAGTGGCTGCACCAAACTGCATTCCCACCAGCAGTGTAGGAGGGTTCCCTTTTCTCCACAGCCTCTCCAGCATTTGTCATTTGTGGACTTTTGAATGATGGCCATTCTGACTGGTGTGAGGTGATACCTCCTTGTAGTTTTGATTTGCATTTCTCTGATAATTAGTGATGTGGAGCATTTTTTCATGTGCCTGTTGATCATTTGTATGTCTTCCTTGGAGAATTGCTTGTGTAGGTCTTCTGCCCATTTTGGGATTGGGTTTATTTTCTTCTTATTGAGTCATATGAGCTGCTTATATATTCTGGAGATCAAGCCTTTGTTGGTTTCATTTGCAAAAATTTTTTCCCATTCCGTAGGTTGTCTTTTTGTTTTACTTATGGTTTCCTTTGCTGTGCAGAAGCTTGTAAGTTTCATTAGGTCCCATTTGTTTATTCTTGCTTTTATTTCTTCTAGGAGAAAACTTTGAGATGT